TTTCTCCATGTGCCCTGAAAATGCTGATTTACATTTGCTTCTGGAAGGGAGACAGAGGAAGCTCATTTTAGAATGTAAGGTTAATCCAATTTCAGAGTCCATTGCACATGGAAAGATGATTTCTGTTATTTCCATTTAAACTGGTAGGTTTCCTCTTTTCAAACTTAGAACTTAACTGCTGGAAGAACAAAGGCCTTTTATTCTGCTTTATGAGCTTGTGTACCCCTATGTTGAATGTCTTCATTTCCTGTAGCAGGAATACAGTCAGTATTGATACAGTGGCTTTGAGGATTTGTACTGGGCTTTGCAAACATCCTTCGTAAGGCTGCTGGGAAGTAGGTGCCAGGTGTTGCTGACTAATGACTAGCATATTGGCTGACACACGTAATAGGCACTCAAATATTGCTGAATACGGATAAATGAATGAGCAAATACTTTCTAGCAACTGGAGCCTAAGCTAATTAAATAACTCATTGAACCTCACTCAATTTATAGAAATGTTTTATTTTTAGAATACTATATGGCTTATAGTTTTCACACATGTTCTCTAGAAATTAGTTTCCATATTTTTTAAAAGTTCAGGAAATGAGGCTTCAAGAGGTTAACTAACTTCGAAGTCACACCGTGATGTTCCTGTGACCTCAGGCTGTCATTGTCAAAAGACAATATCATAAAATAGTTGTTGAAAAAAATTTTTGAAGTTGTGCAAGCTAAAACTTTAGATACTAAAACAAACATGGCGGAAAAAAATCACTTACCATAAAAATCTGGAAATAGTACTATTACTTGTATAGTAATTCATAGTTTCTAGGGCATTTTCTCACGGATGATTTCATCTGACCCCCCGCAATTCTACTCCAGTGGGGTGAAATCTCCTCTCGCTTCAGGTTAGCTGACCATTAACAACAGTAACAGACTGCCCCAGATATTAACTCTTTTCCAAGGCAGGCCAGACTGGCACTTAAGAACTGAATATCCTGCATACTCCTGCCACCTACTGGTGCTTTTCTGGTAGCATGGGTTTCAGCTAATTTTATATTAACAAACATTTTTTCTTCAGTGGGACCACTCGACTCTTTTACTCCTTATTACTCAAGTCCTTAAAAAGACCCCGCTGCCCCCCATCTTTGAAACTCAATTTCTAAGGAGGCTACTCTGAAACAGGACCTAAGACTTTCTTAGGAAAGGGGTGGAAATACTTCTGACTCCTTTTGGCATACTGGCAGGTTTCAGAAATGTCTATGAGCACCTTCCAGTTGGCTTAGAGGCTGGAGGAAGGGAGGTGGCTTAGCTAGGGACAGAGAATACTCACGGATTTCACGCTTTCGTAGTATTGCCTCCACTTTGCCCAGTATTTTCTGGGAGGGCTACAGTTAGAGAGCGGGTCAGCTGAGAAGGTAGTGTGCCAGATGCTGACAGCTTACTCCATGGCACCCCAACAGTTAGTGGAAGAGGAATGAAATTCTGGGGGACAACTGAAGCCAACGTCCTGACTCAGGGGCACACCAGTGAAGTTTCTCAAACTGCACCAATCCCTGAAAACCTCTGGTCAATACCTTTTTTCAAAGCTGGGCTTTGCTCTGGACACAAGTTTTTAAAATTATTACACAAAATCTGTCTATGTACTTTACTAGAAATCCAGGGCTGAGAGATGACTTGTTCATCTTTAGGGCAAATTACCAGAGTAGGATTAAAATGAGATGATCTGGTATATAAATGGTTTCTCATAATTTTAGGGTTCTTTAAAAATTGAACTAACACTATTATAGCAGTAGTGTGAAATAGGCTGAGGCAAACACGGGAGAAAGAAAATTGGATGTGAAAAGTAACTAGTGGAATTTTAGTGGAAATTCTTGCAGGATTCCTTTCAAAAAGTAAATTTGTCTGACTGGGGAGAAAACTTGTATGCTTTTTTCTTTATCACTGAGGTTGTATTTAATGAACTTTTAACCTTCCCTTCCTTCTGCTCCATGTTAGGACAAAAATAGAAGCTCTGACAATTTCTGAAAGCAAAGTAAAATGTCTACTGTAGCACATGATGAAAGCTTCCTCGTGGTCAAAGGTCAAGACAGTAACATTTGATAAACAGCAGATTTCATGCCCTAATTCCCTTAAAGATTTAGCAGTACATATCAAGAACAGGAAGGATTTATAAAACTTTGAAAGCATTCTGGTCATTCTTTAATTTAGAGCAAAATTAAGTTGTGAAGTGTTGTTCAGGATTATTGAAAAAAAACAGTAGTTATTTCCAACATTTGCATGATACTTAACAGGTTTTTAGGCCATATATTTCACTATATTCTAACCAGAATCATTCAAGATAGGGCTTGTTTTCATAATTCATACTTGAGAAAACTAAGGTTCAGAGGTTAAGTCACATACTTCCCAGTCACACAGCTGATAAATCACAGCATTGAAGACAGGTCTTTATAAAGTCTAGTGATCTTTCTAGAAACTCTTCCCGAAACTTCTCCTCTCTTTAAACATCAGTTTATCTGACTATTGTACTTAACTGTTTAAAAGAGCCACTGTTTTTAAAAAGCAGGTGGAAATTAATCTGCTTTTTCTTAGTCATACTTCTAAGCCTGTGGGCCTCCTGTGATAAACACCTGCGTTTACCAGGTGGTAACACACCAAAACTATACATTATTTTGTTTGAACAACCCTTTGAATAGTGATTCTCACATCTTAGCGATAGGTTATCTTTGCAGTTTTGTAAAAAATCTGATTTCTTGGCTCCACCTCAGGGACCAATCCAGTATAGTGGGAGGGAATGGAGACATAATTCACTGTTAACAAGCCTCCCAAAATGGTCAAATTGCAGATGATTTTAAAGAACATAAATATGGGCCTTCCCTGGTGGCGCAGTGGTTAAGAATCCGTCTGCCAATGCTGGGGACACGGGTTCGAGCCCTGGTCCAGGAAGATCCCACACGCCGCAGAGCAACTAAGCCCGTGCGCCACAACTACTGAGCCTGCGCTCTAGAGCCTGCGAGCCACAACTACTGAACCCGTGTGCCAGAACTACTGAAGCCTGCATGCCTAGAGCCCGTGCTCCACAACAGAAGCCACCGCAATGAGAAGCCCGTGCACCACGATGAAGAGCAGCCCCCGCTCCTCGCAACTAGAGAAAGCCCACGTGCAGCAACGAAGACGCAACGCAGCCAAAAATAAATAAATTAATTAAAATAAATAATAAATAAGTAAAGCAATGCCCAGGATCACAAAACCCTTAATGGTGCTTTGAAATGTATATTTTTTTGCCTTAATGTAGAAAAGTTTCAATTTGGGAAGTACCAATATTTTAAAATAAAGAAGCCATACAATTCATATCCAATTTAGGATAAGTATCCATGCTAATTTCTCCTCTTAGTTGTGCTTTATTTCTATAACAGATATCTTCTTATCATTGCAATGTGCTACCTTAAAAGGAGTTTTTCAGTTTAATCTTGCTCTATTCCCAATTCACATCTTTCCTAGATTAAGTTTTGGTTTTATATGGCTCCTGGTGGGAAACTAGTGTTAAAAAGAGACATGCAATTAATTAGTGGATCTGTTTGAACTGTGAGGTATTTTTAACTGTTGTAAAAATGAAACCCATAAACCTGTCTCTGAATATCGTACAGTTGGTAGTTTCCAAATCCTGCCTGATCAAAAATTACCTGTGGGGCTTCCCTGGTGGCGCAGCGGTTGAGGGTCCGCCTGCCGATGCAGGGCACACGGGTTCAAGCCCCGGTCCAGGAAGATCCCACATGCCTCGGAGCGGCTAGGCCCGTGAGCCATGGTTGCTGAGCCTGCGCGTCCGGAGCCTGTACTCCACAACGGGAGAGGCCACAACAGTGAGAGGCCCGCGTACCGCAAAAAAAAAAAAATTACCTGTGGACTGATTTAGGCCTGGGCTAGGGCCCAGACTCTACATTTAAACACCCCATATATGACTTTTATGAATAGATATTGAAAACTGAAAATAGAAAACAGTTATGGTATTGCTATTTTTCTCCTCCAATCCCAAAGCAGCCACTCACAATTGCAACTTAAATCATTACATAATTACTAACAGATATTTAACTCAGAATATTCACTTTAGGACAGTCTCTGTACACATTTCAGTAAGCCACTCATTATACAGTATATTCACCTGTATTTGGTTAACTTTTCCTTCCCACAGCAAAATCATTCCCACTAGTGGTTTCCCATCTCAAGTGCACAGTGTGTTTGCTTTTCTGTAAACAATCCGATCTGACTGGATCCTCCATATTGCTATTTGTTTTTTTTTTTTGCAAATGGAAGTTTTTAAAAGGAAGGGTGTAGAGGAACTTGCTGCTATGGTACTTGGTGCAGCCACCTAAAAGTTAACCTAGTGCTATGACATTTTATTTGTTCATATATACTGAATTATAGGTGTCAGTGTCTGAGGCAAAAGTCATCTCAGAGAAGTTAATATTTGTAAATTCAGTATCTCCATGAGGAAATTAGGTAGAGTTACCTAAACCAGAATGTCACTTTATCACTGCCAACTGAAAAAGCTATAGCTACTCAAAGGTAAGATGTATGTGTTCATAGATAAAAACTAAGATGATTACTAGACAAGGATAGTGGAAAATAAGTAGCAGTTTTGCACCAATGCAAGACAAAATATACTTTATTGTGACAGCAAATGCACATAGTGCTATAGGTAAGGCATGCTACTAGGAATCTGCATATAATCAAAGGCTGGTATGGAAATGAATGGGAATCAGTGTTGTGTCTTAATGCATGAAGATTTAGTCCATGGTGAAGGAAAGAGAAGAATCTGTGTCCACATATCTCAAATGCAATATTATACACCTACCAAATCAGAGGCCTATGCCTCTAACCAAGAGCCCAAAGGCAAATAAGAGAAACTTAATCCTAACTGGACTCAGAAATCACACCTAGTATCAATACCAGAAAGATTTTGCTAATTAATTTGAGGCAAATTTCATCTCTAGACAAAGACCTAGAAATTGAGCAAACATCCATTCATTCATTTAAGTATTTAGCCAATTTTAATGCCATTTATTCCACCAGAAACACTCGAATATCTAGAAATAGTTTGGATAGAGAAACATTTACATTTTAATACTTCATAATGTTGTAAATTTTGGGCTAAAATAACCCCGAGTCAAATTTGATCCCTTTCTATTTGAAGGGGCCAAGTAGAATTTCTATTTCAACAGCTAAACTTCTGAGGGAAGATCTGAGAAAATAATGCTAGAAGATCTAGTCCTTTGATGTAACTATCAGGCTCCACAGACTTGTCAAAATCAATGCAAAACTGAGGAGGATAGGTTGAAACACTTTGCAAAGCAGTAGTTTTAGATAGGCTGCTTCACTTCCCTCCTTTTAAAACAGATGCAGATGAAATGCTTTCTGCATGAATGCACACTGACATTTCTGTTCAACTGTTTTCTAAATGCAATACTGTGGATTTAAACAGTATGCTTTAATTTAAACAAAGTAGAATCTTATACACAATTTAGCTTAAGAGATGAAAAGAAACACTACTATGAAAATTACTTATCAAATACTCTGCTCTTTTAAAAGGTGATTTTAAAAGCAACACAGGACCAAAAACATCCAACTATTACTTTATTTATATTACTATGCTTAAGTTACATGGAAAAGACAACCAAGCAGTTCTGCCCCATATCAGGAAAAGTTTCCAATCAACACCAATTATGTGGTGACAAGTAACTAGGAATGGTGACATCTTTGGGTCAAGACTGACAAGGAAGAATGGGCTCTGATGCTACGGTTCATCTCCAACAAGAATATGGCACAATGGCCAGCACAAGCCATACTAACACTGAACCTTTAGCGCTGGTCACAAATTCGGATCTCTTCTCTGAAGCTAGCAAATCAAGTGAAATAACTGGGTTTTAAAAAAAGTTTTAAAATGAAGCCCAAATAAATTTAAGAACCATGCTCTTGACACATTTTCCTTTCAAAATTTACATAAAACACTTTTTCACTCTAATGGTCTAGATATTTTTCCTCACATAGCCCACCATGTAGCTGCAGACAGACTATTCTGCCTCAAGATGTAAACATAGGGGAAAAAAAATTAACGGCATCCGCATAATATTCTCTCTACACACTGCTGTTGGATGGAAAATAGAAAATTAAAAAAAAAAAAAAAAAAGAAAGAAGGAAAGAAAGGTTCCATCATAGATTCTCACAACCTCTTGTTCCACAGTTCATGAATCCGACTCTGATGCTAAGGTGACAGTGTATGTAAGTAGATTTTTGTTTTCAGTGAAGAAGACCTGGGAAAAAGATGGATTTATCTCTTTTTCTTCAAGAGTTATCAGATGGTACATGCTCCTCAAAGCCCTCACTTTCTCGAACTAGCGCACGTTCTAGGATCACACGGCCTTCCTTATAACGCTGGCTGTCTTCAGTGGCAAACTCATAGATCCATCCCAGTTTGCTATTGCAGTTTTTGCAGCTCACATCTCGAACCATGTGGCGGCCAGTGAGCATGACCCGGTCTTGAACTTCACTGTACTGCAGGTTAACTACCTAAGAAACATGTGAAAACAAAATTGCAAAGCCATGTAAGTTATCTGCCAAAAATGGTACACAATATTTTTGTTGGTACAAGAACAGCAACTTCAGAAAAACGAATAGCAGTTGTTACTTTAGTCAAACCTGCAATACACTTCCCAAGAGCTATTTTTACAAACTGCTGGGACAGGTAAGCATCTGTACTCAACTGGACATCTAATGTAATCATGCATTATTGTATTAGTCTTAGTCACACTATTATACACGTTAGTTACACGTCTGTGTTATAGTGAAGAGTCCTTAACTTGGAGTCATAAAACGTAGGTCTGGGTCCAACTGTTATAATTCACCACTCAATGATGAGTACAACTATGGTTACCAATGCAAAAGAACCTAGTACGCAACAGGTACCCCATAAAAAGAAATTTGGCAGATTTGTTTCTGAAATTACATTTTATCTATAAAGAGACTGGGGTAGATTGCAATACATAGTTTTCAAGTGGGTTCAGAGAATCTGTGAAGAATTTCCAATGATTCTTAACACCCAATAATCTTCTACACTTTACTTTTCTGTAAAGAACCAGATAGTAAATATTTTTGGCTTTGAGGGCTATATGGTCTTCGCTATAGCTATTTAGCTCTGCTGTTGTAGCACAAAAGCAACCATAGATAATACATAGAAGAATAAATATGGTTGTGCTTCATTAAACTTTACTTACAAAAACAGGCAGCTGGCCTGCCATGGTGTGCCAACCCCTGCTCTATACCGAAATAAAGAGCAAGGGGTATATACGCTATCAATTCTTTGAGAGAAAACACTTGTTTCTAAGTGGAACAGGGGAGTGTCCACTGGAGAGGTTTAAGTTGAACTTCTAAGAACAGGACCTTGGACTAGTTCTGTTCCTTAGCGTAAAGTATTTGGAAATTCAAGTTTGCTGGTACACATTAGATTCCAGGAGGCAGAATCACATCAACCAATTTCAAAGCCAGCCAGAAGTTAGAGAAGGAGGCAGACTATACACTAATGTGTAAGTCAGGAAGCGCTCTTCCTGTTAGCAAACCTCTTAGCCAAATCATAATCAGAAGGATGACTGGTAGGCATAAGTTAAAGCAAGGGAAGTTGGTTAGATGATCCTTATTCACTTGCAATGTCAAACTATGACAGCTTAATGCAGCTACCTCCCTATAAGGATAAATCCGTGATATGGGGGTGTCTTGGCCCCTTCAATAGTCTGTGAAGTAACTACCAAATTCTTACACTGAGTGTCTTCTGAAGCAACGGAGACCATCCTTCTTATTATAATACAATCTTTACACTCTCAACAATCAGTTCTATAGAGCACAGCTCTCATTCTGACTCTTCCTGGCATCTCCATGCTCTGAGGGGTATTCTGGTGCTGCTATCAAATATATCCACTGAACCCACTTAGGAAATGAAACTGGTTTTCCCCACCAACCTTGTTAAAAAGAAATGCTCTGCCAGTGGCGCCTGTGAATCGAGTGGAGATGAGTTCTGAGCGGTTGGTCAGGATCGTATCGCAGTTTGCACAGGAAAACAGACGGGTACCACCAATATGATCAAGGAAAATCCTGCCCATTTTTATAGCTGAAGTTCTAAAAACCTAGGAGCAAATGGAAAAGGACAAGAAACACATTATGATTTTTTGAAAAAATTTGTTAGTACCTACTTGGTGGTGTCATAGAGAACCATTTATATACACATATGTGATCTCTTTATAGTACTTAATACGTGAAATAGCTGACTCTGAACAAAAGGATCCAAAGTTCACACACTGAGGAAACAAATAGGCATACCCAAACTAAGAACATTTTAGAAGCAGTAAGTCAAGGAAGTAAACATGCTTAGGAAGGCCAAAGAATGGTATCACTTCTCTTTTGATCGGTATGAAAAAAACAGGAAGACAGTGGAATATCAAACTGAATGATGAGAAGCACAAGCAGAGAGGTGAGAAAAGAGGTTTAGCACAGGGTTAAGTATACATTCTGAGTATGTGTAATTTGAGAAAAGACTTGTGGGACGAGAGTGGGATGATCAGATAAGAGTAGAAAAAGGGGCGATCAGAAAACAAGAAGAGGGTAGTCTGGTTCGAGAGCATGGGGGGCCTGGCTCTCTGGTCATCAGGTGCGTCAACAACCACGAAGGGGTGATGGCACTAACAGTAGTTAAGTTTGAGTCTGTGGAGCACTGTACTAGGATGCTTTACTTATTTCAAAATCATCACGACAACTCTGTGAAGTTATCACCCCCATTTCAAAGATTACCCAAGGTTACTAACTGGTCAAAGGTTACACAGCTTTCAAGTACAGAAAATCGTGACGGGAATACGGCTCACCCAAGTCAAAGCCAAAATTTTTCCATTACTCTAACACAAGAAGAGGACACACAAGATGGTCTAGGCTGGCATAAGGCTAGGAAAACAAGAACAGAGAAGAAGGGAAAGATGAGCCGTCGTTATATAGCTTACTATTTTTAAGAAATCCTTCCAATTCAACAAATCACAGAAGTTCTGAAACATTGCAAAAAATCTCTGAATCCAACTTCTGAAACAAGGATAATCACACTCCAATATTTTAAAACTTAGGAGAGTTAATATATGCAACTCCTTAAATTCACTGCAATTAATCCCCTAAAACAGTATTTTTAAGATCTAGACATAGTCAAGAATACACTATAGCTTTTCATTTTAAAAAGCATTTATCCCTGCGTGTAGTGATCAGCTCCTACGTTTTAAATATTTAACATTATATGTCTTTAAAATGGCACGCAGAGCTAACACAGCTACCACTATGCAAAAGAAAAATCTAGAAGCCATGTGTAATCCACCGTCATCTTAAACTTGGGGAAATTCCATTCCTTCTAACATCTGTCAACTTCCTCAGCCATTAGGCAGTTCTAATGTCATCAGAAATGTCATTATCACAAAGATAATTATGACTCCCATTACACATTATGATACGGAAGTTTAATAAAGAATGAAAAACAAACAGTGACTATAATTACAATGTATAGCTTGTAAAAGGAAAGCCAGTGCACTAACAAAAGTGTCAATGAGTAAACCCTGGGTAAAAACACAAGACTTATGAAATGACATTTAGCTTTCTGATTGTATTTCTGCAAAACGACAACAGAAGGTAAGACTTGCTGCCTATTGTTTCAGTCTCTAGGATAGCATTACTTTTCCCAGATGCCTAAGAACACATTATTTGTTATGCAAAGGTCAAAGGCTGCAAATCTGAGGCCTGCTGGCTGAATTCATTTGGTGGCAGAGGGATACAGCAGTGAACAAAACAACCCTTCCCTCACAAAACATTAGTGGACATGTTTAATCTGGCGCACAGTTTTTTACTTTTAATAAAAAACCGCTGAGAATCACTTAAAATTTGAGAGATTTCATTAAGAGCCTGTATTGGGCCTTTAAAAAAAACAAAAAACAATGGGGAGAGCTGGCAACACAGGGCATATATTCTCACAGGGCAACAACTGGCTAGAGCTGAGTGGTGGCTGCGACTCCCCCAGCTAGGCCATTTCATTTGCTTTGTGCCCATTCTGTGCCACAAAATTACTTCACCTGTTAAGACATTTGAGTTTATGACTCTTGATATAAATTAAGCATTCAACGACCCTGTGAGTAGTTGATTTTGGTCATCTTTCTTAATACTGGTCATTTAGAGAAAGGAATCAACAGCAGGGTTTTATAGTCTCACCTCTGAAGACATAGTCCTCAGAATCTATATTTCTCTGAAAATTAGTATTTGTGCAGTAATTTAGCCTCCAGCTTGGGCTTCTGGGAACTGTTACTTTCAAGCCAATTTTCCTTCAAACTTTTAAATACAATATTCATCTTGTAAGTTATTTCAACCATAATGCAAGAATAACTAGATCTTTTTGAATTGACTGTGACAGATACAATACTATTGAGGAAAATGTTCAGAACTTCAAAATGAACTCTCCCGATACCTTCTACCTACATCTCTATCTTTGGTTCAGTATTACAACATAGCTGTGGCCATCTGCTTGCTACTGGATACAGGCAAACTATTTCTAAATGGGGTAAATAGATTTAACATGCTTTCTCTTCCCTGCTTCAAATTCAGACTATTTTTAACTTTTACCCAACTATTTTTTACTGGATTCAGTTACATGATTCATTACCAAGACTAAAAATATCTGTACAGAATCACTATTCCCAGTTGCAGTTGCCATTTGGAGAGTTCTATATATGTATATAAAACTGTAAAATGTAGTTCTAATTTGCCAAAAGAGAGAAGCCTGAATGCCATGGAATCCAGCAGAAGCAAGCAAAACACCACTTGCTGTTGAAGGTCTCTGGGACATAGAAAAACCTCCGCAGGCCATTGGGTCCCAGGTGTTAGGCTTTAGCTTCGCTGGGCTAGGAGTGCAACCTAGTGCTCACTTCCCCTGTGCACATTCGGGAGGACTGACGTCAAGCAGACTGCCACTTCATTACAGAAGGGGGAAGGTCATTAAAAATCTAAAACATAACACCTGAATCAGGCTTCTCTGGACCTGGACAATATATTGAACTCTGCCTTAGACTTAATAATATGGGACACTGCATTTGGTACTTTACATATCACATTTAATCTTGACAATTTCTAAAGTAGATATTACCCTAATTTTGTAGAGGAAGAAATAAAGCCTGTGACTTTATGAAACCACCCAAACTGGGATGTGAACTAAATTCTGCTCCAGTTCTTTTCACCCCACTTACTCTCTAATGACCAGAAGAGACAGCCAGATTCAGTCCTTCTCCCTCAGATTTATCATGCACCCCTCCTGTCTCCATGCTGAACCTGCTATATTCCCTAACTCTGTTGATGGCAACTCCAATCACTCTCCTAAACTAGAAACCCTGGCAACTTCTTTAAGAAACTGCAAAATTGACAATACCTCCGCAATCACTTTTCGAGGTCTTTCCTCCCCCTCCCTCATCAATGACTTAGTTCAAATTCTCATCACTTCTAGATAAGCCTCTTGTGGTCAGGGAGTGTGCATTAGTAAATGCAATATACATTCACAGGTGCCACTACGTTTATGCTAAATTAGATAGTGCTACAAAAGGTACTTCAGCCTTACTTACAAAAGACATGGAGTTCAGCCACCCCTTTCTAAGAGCTTATACAGACCACTCCTCTACAAACTTTGAAATTTTTTATCTGACAGGATAGAATATAGCTGATTCTTTAAAAACAATTTTATTAAAGGAGTAATTTACATAACATAAAATTTGGCCATTGTAAGTGTACAAATGAATGACTTTTAGTAAATTTACAAAGTTGTGCTACCATCACCACAAACCCTTTAGCTTTAGAATATTTCCATCACCTCCCCCAAATCCCCACAAACCCTTCTTCAGTCAGTCTCCAGCCACAGGCAACCAATGATCTACCTTCTGTTTTTACATCTAAATTATTTCCCAGGTATGCTAATCAACTTGCTTGGATTTAGAAGAGTACCAAATATCTTCAGTCACATATCTGTAAAATATCTTAAGAATGAATTGTTTTCACAGATGACTAATGTTCTCTGTATTGATTCTGGGGGCACTTACTGTGTCCCTAAGTAATAAAATGTGTTATGGTATCAGTGTTGAAGTTCAAGTTTATAACCAAAATTAGCACCAAACTCATCATTAATTAAAGCTTTAAGACACTCTCTTCCTTTTTAGCATTTCAAGCAAAAAAGAATCAAATAATCTTAATTTTTATAAGTGCCATTCCCCAAATAATTTAATAAATAAGGTCTCTTGGGTACTAGATTTTCTTTGCTGTAGGTTATTAAAACCCTTAAAAGGTGGAAGTAAGAAAATTATCAAATTTGAGTGTTTAACTGGAAGCCTAACATCAGTTCATTTGAAATTACTGGAAACAGTAAGGTGTCAGGTTGAAAATATAAGTGAAATTCACACATATGTTGATATTTTAGTAATTGATTTCAATTTCCTCCCTCTTCAATAAATAGCATTTAGCTACCTAGAATTTTCAATTTCTATTTTAATAGGAGACTCCAGTGAAGCAATACATTAAGACCTTTACCTTTTTACAGATTTTTTTTTAATTTATAAGATTTATAGAATCTAAGAGAAAAAATGGTTTTTCTCTTTCAGAAATCCATGAAAGACAGTCTCCAGGAATGTATTATTTTAAAAATTAAGACATTATGGACTATATAATTTCCAGGTCAATAAAACAATTTTCTAAAAAAAGGTTTTTTGAGATTTAGTTTTTTAGAGCAGTTTTAGGTCCACAGCAGCAAAATAAGGCAGAGATTTTCCACATGCTCTCTGCCCCAACAAATGCATACCCTCTCTCATTATCAACATCCTTCACCAGAGTGGTACATTGTGACAACTAATGAAGCTATAATGACACATCATAACCACCCAAAGTCCATAGTTTTTTAGGGATCACTCTTAGTGTTGTACATCTTATGGGTTTAAACAAACGTATAATGACATATATCCATCATTATGTTATCACTGCTTTAAAAATTCTCTGGGCTCTATTCATCCCTCCCTCTACCACCAACCCCTGATCTTCTTACTCTCTCCATAATTCTTCCTTTTCCAGAATGTCATAC